TTCGTTTCAGCGAAATTAAGTTTATTTTTTCCAAACAAAATTCAGTGAGCTATGACTCTATAAGTAAAAACTGAGGTTGTTCGAAGACTGAACAGATTGCACATCTTAGATCTATTATTCAAGCAATTATATATATATTTAATTATCATTAAGTGTAATATTTAATACATTTCAAAATATATTTAGCGGGGTGAATAGAGTATATAAATTTTTTTTGTTCGTTTTTTATTATTCCATTAATAGAACTACTATCATAGATATCTAGCAATACTTTTAACAAATAAAGTTTGAAAATTTGTGTAATCTTAAATCATCATTAGAGATAACATGTTAATAATATTTTCAATACATTTCATAAGATTTCAATACATATATTAATTTAAGTTAATATTTCAAAAACAAAAGTTTATATGTATATTAATTCGATTTATAGTATATATTCACTTTAACATAAAATTACCCTGTAAAATCATCTGAAAGTGACTATGTACCCAAAGCCCACATGTGAAAATTTTGCATTTTCTGTTGCATGTGAAAATGTACAAGGGACGTTGCAATGGAACTCTCTCCTGTCACCTATGTCAATGTTATTGCATACAATTTTAAGTTGCCTTAAATTTACTATGCACACTACTCCGATGTGCATCGATGTCGGTCTCCTTGAGTGAAAATATTTTGCAGTTACACATTTTAACACTGCTGAAAGGCACTTTCATATTAAGCAAGCAATGTGCTTTAAACTTTAATTACTTGTCTGTGACACTTCACAATAAGTGCAGTGAATTTTTCTCCTATATTACCTGCAAGTTCATGCATCATTACCATGGAATAGCAAGGATGTTTGGATAATATGTGAAGCATATAACTTATTTTTACCCTCTAAAAACATGTGCCAATGCAGGTAAACATATACAATGATAGAAACTCATTAAAATCTAAATTACAAGTACTTAAATTAAATATCTTCAAGGTGTTTTATTAATTTTATTTCATTAGTTTTAGCTTTTGTAATTTGTTATTTTTATAGCAAATTATATAAAAACGACTAGTAATGTTCTTAGTTTTTCTTAATTAGTCACCTAATTACTTAAGAGTTAACTTTATATTCACAGGAATGATTAAGTTGATTGATATTAAAATTAATCCAAATATTTGTAATAAAGCAATAATGTACAGTAACATTACATGGATAGAAGATTAGTTCAGGTTTATATACTATGTACGAGGACGGTTTGATAAGTCAGTGAATTTTTGAATTTCCCGCGCAGTTACTCCAAATGCAACAGTGCTGCCGTCAGCTGTAAGCAACCAGTGAGCAACTTTCTAATTTTGAGCAAGCTATGTCGTTCAGTTGGTGTTCGATAACCATTCAAAGCAGACAACCTCGCGAATTTTTACGAAAATGGAAAAAAGTAAATTTCGTGTACTGATTAAGCATTCGTGGCCAGAATCCACGAATTGGGATACGAACTGCTACCCCATCCAGCACATTCTCCAGATTTAGGCCCCTGCAACTATTTTCTGTTTCCAAACCTAAAGAAATGGATTAGCGGCAAGAAATTTGAGTCGAATGAAGAAGCCATTACCGAAGAGCTTTGAGAAAACCTATTATTTGGAGGGAATAAAAAAATTAGAAAGACGCTGAACTTAATGTATCGAGCTAAATGGTGATTATGTAGAAAAATAAAATGTTTATTTGCCGAACAAAATTTGCTTTATTCAAAAAGTCACTGACTTATCAAACTGCCCTCGTATAAACATAAACGCAACACATACACAGTCGACAAAAAAGTTAAAATTGATACTATGCTGCAATAATAAATTTGAAATTTTAATTAAAAAATTTCTAATTTCGGTATGCGTATTAATAAATAGAGAAGAATAGAAGAATAGTGCCCAATTACATACCGAAGAATATACGACTGGTACAAAAAATAACACTCATAAGTGTAAATGACAAAATCAGACTTTAAGAAATTAAATTATAAAATGTTGTTAGTATTTATCAATTTAGTGAATATACAGGATGTAGCGGGCACTATAGACCAATTTCATTACCAGATGTTGGGTATAAGATTTTCTCTACTATCCTGAAAGACAAACTACTGAAAACGATAGACGATATAGTCGACGAATATCAATGTGGCTTTCGGGGCGACAGATCAACTATTGATCAAGTATTTGTTTTGTGACAATCCATCGAAAAATGCTATGAACATAATATCACGCTTCACATGCGCTAGACTACAAACAGGCCTTTGAGAGACTGGAGACTGGACAACTGGTAAAGTTATCTTGAACGGACGATTCTCAGAAACTTTTACGTTACGTTCAGGTGTGAAACAAGATGATAGTTTCTCAGCATTTGTTTTCTTAATAACACTACTCTATACTATTCACTCTCTTGAAAAGCGTGAAAATATTATAATAAAATCTTACCAAATGGCTATAAATGTCAGAATACAAGCGGCAAATTGATGCTTCTATAAATACATAGACCTTTTCAAATCCAGACTACTATCTAAAGAAAATAAACTTCGAATATATAAAACAATAATAAGACCGATATCTACTTATGGCTCGAAATGCTGGATAATGACAAGGGCGGGCGAAGAAGCGCTACAGATTTTTGAAAGAAAGCTAGTTCGCCAAGTTTATGGCCCTATTCGAATGGACGATGAGACATTCAGAAGACGAACAAACAACGAAATTGGTAACTTGCTTAAAAATGAAAATATAGTAAGATTTATCAAAGCACAAAAACTGCAATGGGCAGCTCACGTTGTAAGAATGGGATCTGAAAAAATCCAGCCAATATATTTAATGATAACCCAATAACAACAAGGCATAGAGATTGACCGAAGCTGAGATGGAAGTTCTGAATTGGAAAATAATTGCACAAGATCGAAGCAGATGGAGGCAGGTTGTGAAGGAGGCCAAGGTTCACACTGAACTGTATTGCCAAATAAGAAGAAGAAGAAGTGGATATACAATTTTTAGGTTATAAATTTTTAGATATCATTAATTTTATCGATGAATATGTCATCATTAAAATGTTTTAGAGGTCTAACGAAGCCTGGTAATTACTAACTTCTTTTAAAAAAATTCACGAACTCGCGTTAACTCTCACCGGTGGTGCTTCGCCAGTACTTACACTAAATAACGTTACTAAGTACATAATAACCCTTTAGTTTAAGATCTTGTGCCTTTTGAAACTATACTAACATTTTAGAATATGCGACGGATGCTTCACTGAAATATTTTCAGTTCTTTGGCCATTTGATTGCCACTACGACGTGGATTTCATTCGAGTCAAGCCTTCAATTTTCGAAACAATTCTGGTGATGTTGATATTATTTTTCGTCCATAGCATTTGCAGGTACAGACGGTGCCTGTACTATTTACGGTACGACATATAAACAGTTATTCACGTTGAGGTATTTGAGCTCACGAACAATAGATACTTGTGACATTCCAGCCAAATGTAATGCTATCACACTATTACGTTTGAACTCCATTTCGTAAAACTTTTGTTCTATAAAACTTAAACGTGACGCAAATGCTTATAGTTTGAACGCAATATAAACAGCTGTCATTCGTATACATTTCACATAGTTGGCAATATCAGTTTAACAGATATACCTGTGTGTAGTTGGTAACACTTCAATCGCTTAACCCTGTATATAAACAAAATCATGATATAATATATATATGTCATGATATATAATTAAAATTCGTTATTGCAACTCAAAAATGTATCTATAATAATATTATTTTTTGTTTTATTACAATTAATTTCTCATAAAGGAAGAAAAAGATAATTAAAGAAAATGTCTACTTGTAGAAGAATATCATAAAGTTTGATACAGTAGACACTAAATAGAAATTTGTTATGGTTCAATTAATTCAAACACTGTATGTTTCATGGAATCAAACAATAAATAATACAGTTTTTATCGATAATATTCATTTATTTTGTTTTATATTTCAATTCAATCACTTCAATTCAATTCCATTTCAGAAACAATCACAGCGATAATTAAAGAAAATGTCTACTTGTAGAAGAATAACATAAAATTTGATACAGTAGACACTAAATAGAAATTTGTTATGGTTCAATTAATTCAAACACTGTATATTTCAAGGAATCAAAAAATAAATAGTACAGTATTTATCCATCCATATTCATTTATTTTGTTATATTTCAATTGAATCTATTTCAAAAACAATCACAGCTTGTAAAAGAAAGTCTAAAAATTTGATACAGTAGACACAAAATAGAAATCTGATATAGTTAAATTGTTTGAATCACTGTGAATTTCAAGGAATTAAAAATCAATTATACAGTTTTAATCTCTGCTGATTAAGATATTTAATAACAAATTCTTTTTTTATAATTAATTAAAATTAATAAATTACTCGGATTGTCATAATCTCATAGTTCTTGCATCGTACTGTCTGATAATATCAATCCTTATCAAACTGGTACAACAATAGAGGACAGAGTAAAAGAAGTTATAACCATATTTTATTCAAGAATTATTTTTAAGAAATTTAAGATTTATCACATTTGATTAATTACATACTCAGCTGGTTAATTTCACTCAGATGATATCATCTGTGTAGCACCAACTTTAGCACGGAAACGAATTAAAGTAATTGCAAAATAATTAAACCCATTTACTGGCATAATTACAGCACGAGTTTTCTGAGAATTTCGCTTAACTTTTAATGAAATTTCATTGAAAACACATATTATATAAAATACATTATATAATAGCATTTTAATTATTATTAAAGAACTTTAAACAAAGTCGCTCTTGCATGTTTTCACGCCTGCAACGTTTCACCATACTTTTTCATTAATTTGACTTTTAAACATTGCTCGAATCATTTTTTTATGTCCCTTCGATAAAATTTTCCACATATTTTCAGCGAGATTTTATAAAAAAATATTTTTGCTTAAATTTCTGACTTAATTTTAATGTTATCCTTTGCAGTGGAGGTTTTGTTCCTGGCATGGGGTGTACGCTTGTGCATTATGGTACGGAAAGCACCATCGGAATTCAATGAAAGCCGATTTATTTCGATGGCTATTTACAATGAATTTTTGCTGACATGTTTTCTGAACGTTTCCATGTAAGTCCAAAATAAATCCATTCATAAGCACCTTCACAAAAACATTGACTTACGTTGACATTGTTTCGTTCAAAGACAAAAAAACAAAAAAAAAAAGACCCATTTAACGCGCATATACGATATATCAGTCATTCTCATTGGAATTATTTTTTGCTTTTTACAGGCTTTTCCTGCAATCGCCTGCCAATCCAGATTTGCTTTACATCATATTTTTCTGTCATACACAATTGACTGTGACGCTATTGTTGGCTTTAATATTTGGCAGTAAGGTAAGTTGGTCTGAAAAACAATAATTTAATAAAATAATTTAATAACTCACATTGAATTGGTTCGTGCAGTTTGAATTGTTCTTAATCTCTTTACCAATTTAACTTTATTCCTCTTCACGCAATAGGTTTACATTGTACTACGCAGTGGTAAATCACATCAGGAGAATATAGCTTTGGGTGCCAAAGCTTCCGGTGCGAAATTCAATTTTCGCCCACAAGTTCGTACATTTGCTAATCCCAGTTCGGTGACAACAACTACGGCTCCAGTAATTGGCACTTCAGGTGGTAAGTTTATTTATATATCCACTTAATTTCAACCTTTGTTTGTAGTCTTTAATCAAATTATTATTTGAGATATTTTCATTTCGTTGGTTCTTTATTGAACCATGAAGGGATTTAGAAAAATTTATTGTATGTGTCATATGTTTGCCATAAAAAACGAATATGTATATATGCCCTACATAAAAAACTCTATTCAGCAGAAATCTTAAAATAAAAACTAAAGCCTGAAACAGAATCTTAACTCTAAAATGACTTTATCAACAACGCATATCAACCCTACTATGAAAATAATTATACAATATTTATTTTTTATCATAACTAATTTTAAACAGTACTTGGCAATACTCAAAATAGCGTAATACGGTCAACCAAACTTCAATAAATTAATCAAATTTTTGTTATTGCTTCTTCATTACTATTACCTTATTACTATTACCTCATTACCTTATGTTGACTTATGTTGCTTATTGAAAACTGAAAGAATCAACTAACAAGTCTTAATATATTTTAATGATAATTTTATCATCATTATTTTTATTTTATGGTATAAAATTTAAGAATATTTTATGTTATTTAGGCAGAGTGTATCACTTCGCTTCTCCTCTTTTCAAGCAGAGATTGCAATTGATCCACTAAGTAGATGATCATTCTCGTTTACAACTTTCGGTTATTTTGCACTGGCACTTCATTAATAATGCTTATGTGAAGAATTTGGAGCGGGTTAGCATATGACCTGCTCAAACTGTAAAAGATTTTGACAAATTTGAACATGATTTCAAGACTGACTGTAATAAAACATAATCTGAAAAAGTAATTTTATAAAAACTCAGGTCACATATCGTCAATAGCTTTGTGCATATTGATTTCCAGGTGGTCCAATGAATCTGCTAACTCTGATATTTGATTAAATCAGCAATCAAATATTAGGATCAGGACCACTATTTAAAATTAAACCCTTTATAATTGCAACGTTGCAATTTGATTATGTCGGGTGTATGACATGTCCCGATATCTTGTTTTGTACATCTATTGTTGATATATAATTGAAGAACAAAATTCATTAATTTTTTATCCAGTGTGTTTCTGATCAAATTTTTATAAATGTGATAGATGATTCCTTGGTTTAAGAAACAAAAGAAATCGTAAAGGCACGATTGTTCGATATTATTCAAAGTATAGGGAAATAAAGAAAAGTTTGCATTGAAAACATTCTATTAAGAACATACTATATCTCAAAAATTCCGGCAAATGTTTTTTAATGAAATTGTCCATTTATCATACTGCGATTTTTTATAATCAACCTTTGATTTGAAGAATTTTTTCGACATTTATAAAGAAATGCATGACCTAATTCGATTTAATTTTTATTATTTTCATTTCTGCAGACTGACAACGATAGCTGCAACTGCCTTGTTTGCCAATGACCATGACAATTTTTTAATTAATAGTGTAAATTACCTTGTTGCCTTCAATGTAGATTAAAAAATTAAGAATGAGAGAAATTTCGATTAAATTTTGGTCACTATGTCGAGGCTTTCTGTGCTTCGTCACGTTGGTCCAAATAGTGCTGCTCAATAATGAACATGAGCATTTCCACCTATTAGGAGAATATGCATGTGTTTTTGTAAGGATATGTATACACAAAAAAAAAAGGACTCAAAAAGGACTTTACAAAATAATAGTAAAAATAGAATATTGACAATTGTTATATGACTTTCTATATAATATGTCTTGGCTTATGACCAAAAAGAGTGTAAAATTGTCATGACCATTTATTATATGACTGTCTCTTAAACACGGTTGAGAGCAAAGTAGTGACCTGTGGTTTTTTAGCTGCATATGAACGATCGATGTCAATAACTATGGTTTGACAGCTGATAATGTCATACTGTGTTGACATTTCTGTTCACTAAAAATTAGCAATTCATCACGAATCGTTTAACGTTAGAATAACGCTTCCGAATTGTAGAAATTTACTTTGAAAAATATAAATCTGTTCGGAAAGTTCATAGAACACTTCGTCACTTTATTGTGTTTAGTGATAAAGCTTATTTCTGGTTAATGGCTACGTCAATAAGCAAAATTACCATATATGGACCGAAGATAATCCCCAAGCCGTAAACAAATCACCATTACATGCATTAGTGCTTTACACGCTGGTCTTTATCACCGGTCTTTATTTCTTTCGAAATGAGGAAGAAGATATTATTACGGTGAACGGCGAGTGCTAATAAGCCATGGTAATTGAAATTTTTTTTTCCGAAATTAATGAATTAAACATCGACAAATCAGACATTTGGTTTCAACATGACAAATATGGCGCAACTTGCCATAAAGCGCATATAACCATTGATTCATTGTGAAATCAATTTGGTAACTGGTAAAAATTTTATTTTCAGAAATAGTTCTGTTAACTGGCCCCTTCGTTCATGCAATATAACAACTCTCGTTTTTTTTTTTTGTGGAACTATGTTAAGTCATTGTTTTATGCCAACAAACGACAAACTAGCAACTCTTGAAGCATTGGAAGCCAATATTCATGCCACCATTGGCGCTATTGACGCCTTACTTAATGCAAAAAATAGTCAAAAATTGGATCGATCGATTAAACCAAGTAACTTGGAGCCACGGCGAACATAACATATGCCGGAAAACATATTAAAAAATAAACGCCTTGAAATTATTTATTAGATTACAATAAAAAAAATTTAATTTCAAGAATATTTCTTTCTTGTATTATCATTTGAAGTTCTCATGCAGCTAAAAAAACATCTACATAACAAATGTTATGCAGACTGTTAAATCACAATTGTCATTGTTATAATGTATCGGATGTTTTTTAGCTGCATGAGAACTTCAAATGATAATACAAGACAGAAATATTCTTGAAATAAAATTTTTTTTATTATAATCTGTTAGATAATTGTCATGAGCAGAATTGCAGTGATCATACGTCATATTATCATTTGTCAAATTGAGTTGACATTAACAACAATGTTGTCGACTTAAAAGCAATTTTCTAAAAAAAAACATCTCTATAAATATGAGTACATTTCGAAAATGGACATTGATATATTTTAAATTTAGTCTTCAAGAGAAACTAGTGCAGCACATCATGCATGCAACTCACAAGCTTAAAAATGTTATCCTTGTGTAAATTCTTCTAACTTAATAAAATGTGCATAATTCATAATTTCGCAATTTATTTGCACTTTAACTCGTTGAAACGTTATCGTAACGATGGAAATACGTTATAATAAACTACCGCAAAATAAAGTGGCTGTCAACGCAATTTGACAAATGTTGCACTCAAAAATATTACTAAACATGCACATGTGCCGCGCACGTAAATAACAAACAAGAGGATAAACCAACCTGATCTCAAGCTCAAGTATATAAAATTTACGTCAACGGAATTACGCTAGTATGGCGTAACCAGCGTGAACGCCATGCGTTGGTAGCATTGCCAGCGTAAAAATCATATCAGTTCACGTAGCTTTCCGTAGCTTTCCCTCACGTCTTGCCAAATACGGATTTATTTATGTTGCGCTTTGAAGTGGCATTATTTGAAAATCTAATTTTATGTAACTCCATAAAACTTAAAGGACGGTGCGCTATATATCTTGTTCTTGTTTTGAGTACATAAATTTTAAACAAAATAAAAACTTCACTGTTTTTTTTGCATAATTTTTTAAAATTTAAAATTTTTATATCTGTTTGATAAAAAAAAACAGGACGTGGGCAATAATTTTGTGCGTCTAAATGAATATTATTTAATTTCCTGTTAAAATGTTTAGTTTTTTCTTGTGCCCCTCGTAATATATGTACATTTTTTATTTTTTTAATAAACAAACTTTAAGGAATTTCAAGTTGCCATGTCTCCGCAAATAAGCCTTGTCTCTAACGCAATGATTTATGTTGGCAATAAACGTCTTCATGTCTGTTCATAATTTTTCGCTTATTTCGTAGGCAATAATATCTCATGCCAGACTTGCTTTGCCTGACTTCTTGGTTTTCTGTCTATTTGAGTAACGCAGCTGTCTTAGAGTCTGCTGTTACTGTGCCTGTGACTGTGACTGTCTACTGGCCATGGCAATCCAAATCCACATATTTGTTATCTTTATTTCGCCTGGATTCTTACGCTACTATGAAGCGTACATTTTTTCTACAATTTTTTAGTATTTAATTTGCTTCTCTGTCAGAGTTTATCGTAGCTTCTGTTACGCATTATTTTTTATGACAGTCAAAATAGGGTTCATTCGGACTTTTTTTATAATACTCGTATTACTTTAGGTTTCTCAATATTTTGCTTTGTTTTTTAGGTTTTTGTTAAAAAGAACTACTTTGGATTTACTGTCTTTGTTCAGTGGAATTTATTATTATAGTTACTCGCTTAAATTGAGCGTTAAAATTTTGAATTATATTTTATATTTCATACTAAAGTTGAAGTCAAATTTAACATTTACTCGTATATATTTCAAAATTAAAAGTTTTGAACAATGAATTTCAACAAATTATCCTCCGCCACAAAACCATAAATCTCAATTTGCGTCATTTTAGCTGCAATGTGGTATTTCGTTGTGCTGAATTCCGAAAGTTCAAGTGAGCCACACAATATTAATCATTCCGATATTGACACATTTTGACACTGCTGACCACAATATAACCGTTCTACCATAAAATGACGCTACTCAATAATAAACATTAAGATATGAAAAGTTTATATATAGCAATTACGTCAGATCATATCAAATTATAACTATGGTATTGTGTCGAATACTATTATAGAACCGAAATAAAAATATTTTTCACGTTAGTATATGTAAATATAAAATACTAGTGGAGCATTTACTTGCACCCATTAAAACTTACAATTCTTCATGAAAATCAATTTAAAAAATAAATAAGGAAAGATAAAGTCAATACAGACGTATTTTATCTAGAGTGGACATAAAAGTGCATCACAAATTTTTTGCAGATTGTTGACAATTCAATAGAAACAGTCATAATTATGATGATTCTGTTTTAAAATTCCCATAAATCTTGTAATGAACCTAAACACGGCCGGGATAACTCACGATTTTCTAAAATATTTTACAAGAATATTTTTTATGACCCTGAATCCTCTCGAAGTACAAATTGAAAGACTTATACTTTTAATCTAGTTTCTTCTTATTCTACATTTATTTACATATGAAAAGACAGATGTAATTATTGTAAATACCTATTAAAAGAAAATTATAGCAAAGAAAATTAATTATGTTGTGCTGAAATGAGAAAAAAGTTCAACGTTACTGAGTAGAACACATTGGTATACTCGGAACTAAGCAACATTACCGACTAGGCCACGTTAGTATACTGGGAAATAATCAAAGTTACTTACTAGGCCACGTTGGTGTACTGGGGAACAAATCAAGGTAACCGATTAGGCTATGTTATTGACTAGGCCACGTTAGTACACAAAGGAACCAATCAACATTAGTATACTGCGAACTAATTAACCTTACCGACTAGCCCACGTTGGTATACTGGGGAACTAATTAACGTTACCAACGTTATCTCGAATGTGATGTGTCATTCACTTTATAGTCCCAATAGAATAACTTCCTCTTGTTCCTAAACATTAAGGAAGAAATGTGTGACGAGCGTTTTTCTCGACACACGATTTGATCCCGTATAACCATTGATACCAATTGGAAGCATGTTTGAAAGATTCCCAATGACTTTGTTCCACTTCGTAATAAAACAGTGTTTACTGCTAAAGAAATTTTGCTATGATATTATGTATCATACACTCTTTTAGAAAACATTTACTTTCCACAGAAATCAATATTTTGTGATAAGGTCTTATTTACATATCTCTTCAAGCTTTTGTCGTTAGATCATATTCTTGACAAGATTGACAATGTACTTATTATGTGCGCTCAATTTTTCTCTTCTTTAAGTGTGTTGTATTTACCGCTGTAGTGGTCTTCTGAAATGCACATCACGTTGACATGGGGATTTAAAAGATAATGTTCCGCCGTCGTGCCTATTTTTTTATTGTGCAGTTTCTTTGCAGAACCGACAGATAATGGCGAGTCAATATACCAATCATTATTCAGCCGTCCCCCTTGAGTTCTCTAAGTGCTTATTATACCCGTACGACATTGATAGTAAAAACTAACAAAAAGATACACATTGACTTGTTGACAAAAATGGATAAAGCTTTTGAGAATTACTTGAGAATTAAACATTCTAGCCATTAGAGACTTCTTCAGTATTTTGAAAAAGGGTTAGAGAATATATTCCGTAAGTTATTTTGAGAAGAATAGTTATAGGGATTATCAAACAAAAAAGAGTAGGAAATAGAAATAATATGAAATATCATCAGATATCACTAGGTATTCGTTGTTAGATCGAAAACCTATGTCAAGTCTCTGAACTAAATATTAAATGCCCTCCGAAATATGTATATATGGAATCAATATTCTTAGTATAAAGTTTTGAGAGAAACAAATGTTACTTTCGTTTCTGTAACCAATTTCTTCCATGTAAGCAATTCATTATAATTAATAATATATAATTTATACAACAGTATATATATATATATATGTATTGAAATCATATGCTTTATATAGCCAAATAAATTCATTATCAGTTTATTATGTTATTTCCATATTAAAAAAATTAAATTTTTACTATTAAAGATTATAATCTACTCATATTTATATGCCTCATCACTTTACTATATTTCATCTGATTTACAGAAACCAAGCTATCTGATCAGGAAGCTCTGGAAGAAATACGCCAGTTAAGCGTGCAACTGCAGCGCATACAGGAAATGGCGCCACCTAAAGGCGTTGCTGTCATGACAATTTCAAGTTTATTAGACGGCTTAAAAACTCCTGGTGGTATTATGATGGTAGCTGCAGCTGCAACACAAGCAAGCACAGCCGGAAATCAATTAGTGGTACGTCAAGAACACCATCAGGTGGCATTGCCACTATTAGCGTTAAACACTGAAATGCAGAAATACAATCAACAAATGCAAGCAGTGAAAAATAAAAATGTAAACAACACAAATAGTAAATTGATAACAACAGCTGTCACAAAATCGAATGCAGCAACAGTTGCAACACCCACAGTAGTCATTGCAACTCCTACAAAGGTTATAGAATACAAGGTTATGCAGGAGGAGAAATCTACAAATACTCATTTAAGTGGTGATAGTTTTCACCTAGAGTCTGCGATGGCAACTACACAAGGTCATATCATTTGCAATCGTTGCCTTGAAACTACAAAAGGGCAATATTACACTTGCCGTCCACACACACCTCCGAAAGCATGCCAATTGCTAGGTTCACCTAATAAAGAAGGCAGCATAAGTTTTGCAAATATAAAATTAGATTGTATGTGTTCTCAGCCGGATGATTTGGATCAAACACCAAGACGTCGTACCAATGTGCGCAGTGCTGCCACCAATACTCCACCTTCAACTAGCAGTAATCGCAAACATGGTCCAACGAAATTTGGCAATAGATTTGAGAATGGTAGTACTTCGAGTCTGCACGATGCAAGTGAAATGAATGTAAACTATCGTATTTGTGATAATTGTAGAAGTAAATTTAATAAGAAAAGTAGTAAGCGTATTAGTAGTATAAGAAATAGTAGTAGATGTAGTAAGAGTAGTAAAAAAGAAAAACGCAATAGACTAATAAGTGAGGGTGATAAATCAGCACAAAAACACACCACTATGACTTTGACTGAGATCGCTGGTATAACACAGGCACATAGCACGGATTTACTGGAAAGAAAATCTTCAGTATTAGATGAAAATGTGGTTGTAAGTCAGAAAAAAATGCGTTCCACCGACGATATAGTCTTTTACAGCACCACCGATGACAGCAGTGATACACCCGATAACGATGATAATGATCACATAACAGACACATTTATTTCTCAGGAATATCAGACTACAGTAGATTGTGAAATATTCCCTGAGGGTACATTAGATTCAATTCTTACCAGTGATAGTACTGACTTAGCAATGCTGCCAAGTACTAGCTCTATTACTACAACAAGTGTTAGGAAGCAAGAATCAGGTGAGAGTGCAGTAGTTATCCAAACATCGCTTGGAAATGTTTCTTCAAACTCAAACAATTCAAGTCAGGGTGAAGGCAATAATGCAAATAATAGCAAGACAAATGGCAATGGACGCACAAAACGACCGGACAAATTAATGCTGGACTTAAATGATCGTTCCAAATATACGAAAGAAGTGTCGGTTTGAGCCTGTCAATTTAAATTGTTTTAGTTACTAAAATTTCAATTCCAATAGATTATTTATGAGTTTAAGTTCAAATAGATATAGTATTTGAAACATTTATTAATATACTATAGAGGTAAATAAATTTCCGAAACCTCTATTCTGATTTAATAGGAATGTTGAAAAGTTATAAATTGATCCAATAATTAATTATATTATGTATTTATTGTTATGTTTATTCTTACAATTAATTCATTTTATATATTATTTAATTATATTATTTTTATTTTTAATATAAATACAATAATTTAACTATCAGTATTATTACATTGGTATTATTTTTTTTTATGCATAAAAGACATATACTCTTCGTTGTGTATATAACTTATAACAATTTTCAATTATTTATTTAATCTAGTTCTTACATTATACTTATGTACTTTATTATTATTTGATATTATTAGTTGAATAATCATAGTTGTGTAAATCCACATAATTACTGCCTATATATTTTTAGGTATTACAAAAACCAGCTTCCAACAAGTTTTTTCATATTGACACTAGAAGATTGATTCCCACTCAAACTAATTTAGTAATGCAAACACTATTGCTACCAAGGCAAGTTAAATCTCCAATATCGTTATATGATTTGATATTGTAGAATTTAGAATCAATCAATCTCTTAGATATTCTGCAGATACACAGTTTTGAGAATTTATAGGTCTGCAATTCTTAAAAAAATTATTTTATGAACCCGAAGAACTATCAGAAACTGATAATAAAAGTCTCAAATTTTTTAAGAAGAGAAATAGGTTGAAATAGATTATTTAGCTCTTGACTCGAGAATAAACGTATCAGAAAAATCTTTTAGAAAACCAAATCATAAGATGAGGCCCATCTTAAATATGATTTTTAAGGTAACGCATACATAGTCTTCGCAGAGTCTGACACAGATTCTTCTCTTAATCTAAACTAACTTAATGAATAATGTTTATTGCTTAGTAGTTATTTATATTTTTATAATTACATTAGTTTAATAATACTTTCTTAAACTTTTTTGAATTATTGCATTATATCAGATTATTATGCGTTATAAACTGATATGCTTACGGAAGAGACAAAAAACACGCAAATTTTTATTGAAAGACTTACTCTAAGCCCAGAAAGAGGCACAATAGACCTGATGATCGCAGTGTCACATCCCATCTTAATAATATTAATATAATCAAATAATTATATAAGTCTGATTTTCCAAAAAAGCAATGGTTTAGACAGAGATAAGAGATATTTTTTTTATGTTCAGGACTTCTTATAATATATTCAATCAGTGTTATTTATTTCTAGTATTATAGTTATGCATATATTTATAATTTTTTCGATTTTATTTTAATTATTAATTTATAAATTTTTATTATTATTGTAAACTAATTATTATTAAATTATTTAAATTATTTATTGAGTCAATTGTTGTGTTTTGTATCAAAATCTTGCATTCCGAAGATTATCAAAGAATTTGATACAATCCATCAAAAGCAAAATCAGAATTATGTGCATAATGTATAAAAAAAGGTTTTTTTTCTTAATATAAATTAAAAAATTAGTTATTAAAAAAATTATAATAAAAAAAACACTACACTTCAATCAATAGTACATAATATGAATTTCAAAAGAAATTTTAGAAGCGAAATATTTTTTTAACTGAAATGAGCCCCAGTTGCAAAAATATTTCAAAGATACGCCAACTTTTGATTGAACTGCAAGTGTTTAGATAAAAGATAAACTGTAATAATTTTCATATTAAATTTATATTAAATAATTAATATACATAGTAAAAAAAATTTAAAACACTTTATATCAAAATTTTTTAAGTGTAAATATTTATATATTAAGAAAATGTAAATGTATTGAAACTTAATGTAAATTATATTTAATTAAATGTAAAAATAAATTTAGTTAAAATGTTGTGTAATTAAAATCAAAAATTATTGCAATAAGAAAGCAATTTATTTGAATTTATTCAGAATGTATTTAAATAATAGTTTTAATAAGAGTTTAAATTAATTGTAGTTACTTACCAATTTAAATAAAACTGTAATTTATATATGTATTATGTATATATTAAATACAATATGCTTCCTAAAGAAAAAGTATAAATCAAGTTAGTAAGAATTTAATTGATGATATCTAAAATTAAATTAAAAGTCAAAAAAATAAAAACTAAATTAAAAATTAAAACTATAAAACAATTTACATATCTCTGCCAAATTTTTGACAAATTAATTTTATTGAATTATGTTATTAATAAAGAGTAAATTATATATACAAATATATATGTGCAAGGACATATATATGTACATGAGGTATTACAGCTACACTATTACAGATTAATGTTACTTTAATAATTCAAATAATTAAATAATAATTAAATGATTATTTCTATATAAACTACGCATGTAAAGATATATTGCTTTAAGATAATGTGTGAAGTTTTTGAACGAAATTAAAGTATTAAGAATGGCAAATAATTAACTAAATTATATAAAATATATAAAAAATTATGTTATTTGAATACCGAGATATCAAAACTAAAATTATTAAAAACAACAATTTGTTACATGTAAAATTTTTTTATTTAAATTAAATTGATGTACATAAAATATTTGAAAGATACAAGTCACAAATGAATTGTATATGTAAAAACCTAATTAAAATTTAATAAAGTTTTAATTGATGTTATTGAAAATTTATTAACTAAAATTGTGTAATTCTTAACTAGACATACTACAAACTCATACACTATATGCATTAGAAATCGGTTAACTCTGCTCTTTTGTGGTCTTGTATTGCAGACAGCCATGGTTACGTTATATGAGAAATTGATTTGGATTTCACGATGAATTAATATTTAATATTGAGAGGAAGACAAAAAGTTCGATTGAAATTTGGTCACGGTGACAAGGCTATTAGTGCCTCATAATGGTTTTCTTCTTATTAATGAATCTTAAAATATAGACGAAAGCATTTTAATATTGCCTCTAGTACAAATAATAAATTAAAGCAACTATTAAGCGATTCCGATTGGAAAATTTAAAAGGGACGAAAGCGAAGGACTTTTGCCAATCAGTGTTTATCAGACCTACCACTGTTTTTCTTTTTAACAATTTTTGGCCACATCGTCGACTGTTGGCATGTCAAGGTCAGGTCGGAGATCACTGTTTCTGATGTAAAATGGCACATTTACGATATGCCGTAGCACTTTATTTTGAAAGCGCTGGATTGTGGATCTCTCACTCATAAACTTGTTTTCATATACCAAGAAATTTAAAACCACTCAATATGATATACCCTATATACTACAACATACTGATTTTTTTAAGTGGTGAACTAAAATGACTTCAAGCGTTTTAACCAAACGAACCCAAACTACACAAAAGTTTCCTAAACTTAGACAGGTTTTATATTTTAAGAAGAAAGAAGGTATAATCAGCATGTTCAG